GGTACGACCCCGCCCACAAATGGTGGGTCTTTGATCTAGCCACCACCCTTGCTCTACTGGGGATGGAAGATGCTTCAATTGGTGTTTCTTCTGCCGATGTTCCGAGGCGTGCCAAGGAGCTGGGGGCCAACAAGATACCTATATCGGGAGGCCCAAGTGCCATCTGGATATTTTGTCGGCAATTCATGAACAGTATCACCGTCATATTGACGATTGTTCTTGTGGTCAGTGCGGTCTTCAAGGATTGGGCGGAGTTCGGTGTGGTGCTCTTCATCCTGCTCTTCAACGCATGCTTGGGATTCTACCAGGAGTACGGCGCCGAGAAGTCTCTTCATAGCCTGAAGGAAATGACGGCGGGAAGTGCGAAGGTTCTCCGTGATGGCGCCGCCCAAGTTATATTTATCGATGAGGTGGTGGTTGGTGACATCATAATTTTAGAACAGGGCGCTTCTGTACCAGCCGACTGCCGTATTGTAGAAAATAGTGGTCTTGAGGTGGATGAAGCACTTCTCACAGGTGAGGCATTGCCTGTGATAAAGCACACAAATGCTATCCCCGATCCAGAGGGCCGCTGCGCATTGGGAGATCGCAAGAATATGGTTTACCGCAACACACTTGTGACTCAAGGCCGCGGAAGGGCGATTGTTGTGGCGGCTGGCCTTCAGACTGAAATGGGAAAGTTGGCTGAACGCCTCAATGATGATGATGGTACTGGGAAGACGCAATTGATGAAGACACTGGATTACATGATGTACTTCCTGTTTGCCTGTTGTTTGGTTTTGGCTGTTATTGTGTTCGCCACAAACAAGTTCAGATTCGAGCAGTCAACGCTGTCATATGCCACGGCAGTTGCCATCGCCATTTTACCCGAGTCCCTTGTGGCTGTGATCACCGTTTCAATGACAGTTTCTGTCAAAATCATGGCCAAACAGAAGTGTATTGTCCGCAAATTGGCTGTCTTGGAGGTTCTCGGTAACGTAACGGATATATGTTCTGATAAAACAGGTACGTTAACGGAAAACAAAATGGTTGTCAAAAAGGCAATTATTGGCACAGACGACGAATTGACTGTGACAGGAGCACCGTACGATCGGTACGGTTCCTTTGTGCGGGATGGTGAACACGCGGAGCAAATAGATGTCGTGGCTGCCTATGCGAATAATAAGTTGCTCTATGAATTCATGCGCAGCGCCGCGCTCTGCAGCACAACTTCTCTACATGTCGATGAAAATAATGCTGATCGCCTTTCGGGGAGCGGCAACCCAACCGAAGTGGCGATTCAGGTGATGACATGGAAGGCTGACCTTTACCGAGAGAGATTTGAGCAGGAGGGCTGGGAGTGCATCGCAGAGTATCCGTTTGACTCCAAGGTGAAGCGCATGTCTACTGCGTGGTACAACAAGGTGGAGGAGAAGTTGTACGTTTGCACAAAAGGTGCCCCCGAGCGCGTTCTCGACCTTTGTACTTCGAATATCTCTGAGTCTGGAAGTATTACTACCTTGACGGATGATGATCGCGAAATGATTGCTGAGCACGTGAAAGGCCTGGCGTCTCAGGGACTCCGCACTATCTGCTTCTCAATGAGGCCGTGCACCCTGCAACAGTTCCCCATTCCAGAGGAGGAGCAGTTCCTAATGGCGCACGTTCGTGAGGTGGTTGAGCAGGATCTGGTGTTCCTTGGTCTTGTCGGTATTTACGACCCGCCACGCCCGGAGTCTCACCCTTCAGTGGTAGCTTGCCAACACGCCGGTATTGTGGTGCGCATGCTGACGGGTGATCATGCGGCAACAGCGGGAAGTATTGCTGTGATGCTTAACATCATTGGTAAGCGTGATGTCACCAACCCCCTGAAACTGCAGAATGGCCCCGACTTTGACAGAGTGGAACTGGAGACTGTTGAGGAGTGGGAAGATCTTCCGTTAGTCGTCGGCAGGTGCTCGCCAGAGTCCAAAGTCAAGATGATCGAATGCCTTCACAAACGCAATCGTGTGGTGGCGATGACGGGAGACGGGTTCAACGATTCACCAAGCATCAAAATCGCTGATGTGGGCTGTGCGATGGGGTCCGGCACAGATGTGACAAAAGGTGTTGCGGATCTTATCATCACGGACGATAACTTCGCAACTATTGTAAAGGCAGTGGCTGAAGGCAGGCGCATTTCACAGAATATTCGTAAGTTTGTGGTGCACCTCCTCTCTAGTAACGTTGCTGAGGTGATTGCTCTTATCTGCGGTCTTCCAATTCGTTACAATGACGCACCGGTATTCGTCTTGTCACCCATCGAGATTCTGTGGTTAAACATGTTCACATCCGCCCCACCAGCGACAGGTCTCTCTTTGGATCCAGCGAGTTCCGATGTGCTTCTTGTTCCCCCAAACACCGCAGGCTTATTCACCATTGAGCTAATCACAGACACTGTTGTGTACGGGTCCTGGCTTGGTGCGAACGCTCTCTGTGGATTTGTCTTTATTTTATACGGCATTCACGATGGTCCATCTGGTGATGACTGCAACAGCCATAACGGTACCGATTGTTACAACATTTGGCAGGCGCGGGCAACGGCGTTTGGGGTGCTCTACTTTGGATTGTTGATCCACACCTACACCGTGCGGCACCCTCGCATGTCTGTCTTCTCCATGAAGTGGTTCGACAACCATTGGATTTACGGCTCTGTTGCTGTTGGTGGTCTTCTCTTCATCCTCATTGTGTACGTCAACCCCATCGCCCATGGACTCTTTGTACACCACATGCTCACCTGGCACTGGGGAGTTCTCGTAGTTCTCACGCTCATCTTCTTACTGTTCTGTGAATTATACAAGGTGCTGAAGAACTGGCTATTCCCGATGAGGCATGTCGAGGTACAACCCTCGGACGACGTGGAGGAGGAGTACAGGCGCTTCGCCGTCGCCCAACCCGACGACCGCGATGTCGAGAGCATCGCCGAGGAGCAGTTGCGCCTCTCCTTCGTGTCATACGCAGGCAGCATCGCTGGCGCTGGCACACGTCGTGGGATCAAGAGATTTGGTAGGAAGAAGAAACAATCAAGCCCCAAGTAAAGGGTATGTATGTAGAGTGCTTCGGGGGCGAGTGGGGGTGGGGATACAATATATAGTGTTGCTAGGGTGAAGGTGGAGGTGAGTGAATTTCTGCGAACGTTATCCCGTGAACCTTATTGAACGCTCTTTTTTTTTCGTTTTCATCGTGCGTCGCTACGGCCGGATGCGCCTTGGTGTCTGATGATGCCGAAGTAGAAGGGATACGGAAGAAAGAAAGACAGAAAGGAAAAGAAAAAGAAAAGCACAAGATACGAAGGAATGAACAAAAACACAAAGAGAGCCAAGGGGTGGTGTATACATCTGTGTGTGTATGTATACATGCATACAGAGTGAGCGAGAGAGGAATGTGAGGAGGGCTAAGTGAGGAATGAGAGGAAACGACGAAAAAGATGCATGGGGAACAAATCAAAATAAGAAGTGAATAAATAGAGATAGGAAACCAAAAAAGAAAGACTGAAGAAGAGAAGGCAAAGCAAAAAAAGGAAAAGGGGGTAAAACCTGCTTTGTATCGGTGGATCATGTTTGAGTTTTCTTCTTTCCATTGTCGCGCCTGATAATACAGAGGTTTTTTTTTTNGGGGGGGGGCGTGTGCATGTGCGTGTGTGTGTGTGGCGTGGATGCCACCTGCAGTGCCTGGGCTGATCTTCACGTCTCCATCGTCTTTGTTTTTCTTCCTCATTTGACACGGCGTTTGTGCAGTGAGCCTGGTGAAGTTGGCTTTGTTTTTGTGATTACACTCAGTGGAAGTATATTCGATGGAGGGGAACAAAAAAGTGTCGGTCGCCGTTCGTGTGCGTCCGGTTCTGCGGGAGGGTGTCTCATACGCGCAGGTTCAGGAGAAGTTTGAGCTCGAGGCTGTCCACCGCATGGGCGACACATCGTTGAAGGTGGAACTCCAGCGGCCGGGGGAGCCGACGCGAAGCAGCATGTTCAACTTCGACTACATATTCGACCAGGAGAGCACGCAGCTGGAGGTGTACGAGGAAGCGGTCGTCGACCTCGTAGACGCTGCCTTGACCGGCGCAAATGCCACCATTCTGGCGTACGGCCAGACGGGGTCTGGCAAGACCTTCTCTGTGCTGGGCGAGGTAAAGCCGAACCCACTCGAGAACGATCTCCTCACGCACAACAGCGGCTTGTTCTTGCGTGTACTGAGTGATTTGCTTGAATACAAAATGCGTCGCGCCAAGAAAGGTTTCCACGTTGTTATTGGGCTTAGCTGCGTCGAAATATACAACGAGAACATTCGAGATCTCTTCGGTGGGACGCCAGGAACGCCACCGCCGCCGCTGAAGGCAGTTATGATTGGCGATGAGGTGCTGCTCCCTTCCCTCATCATTAAGGAAATGAAGTCTTTGCAGGGAGTATTTAATGAGATTCAGCTTGCCATATCCCGACGGAAGAGCAGATCAACGGAGGTCAACGCCGCTTCCAGCCGAAGCCACTGTTTGTTTCTCATTGATATATTACAACAGGCGGCCACTGCCCCTCCGCCTTCGATATCGATTCTGGAGATAAAGAAGGGCTCAAAAGGAAATGAGGCCAAACGAGTTGTGTCAACTGGGGCCGGGCCGGGGGAAATGCAGTTCGACGGTTTGGTGTATCGTATTCCTGGCCAACAGGAGCCCATTTATGCAAGCAAAATACTATTGGCCGATCTTGCTGGCAGCGAAAAAATTGCAAAGAGCGGTGTCTCGGGGGAAGGGCTGGCGGAGGCCACCTCTATCAACAGCAGCCTCACCGCACTGGGCAATGTGGTTCACAGTCTTTATGAAGGGGGCTATGTGAGTTATCGCACCTCAAACTTGACGTGTCTCCTCAAGCCCACCTTCAGCCATCCCAACTCACGCGTTCTGCTTCTGTCGCAAGTTTCACCGACTCAGTTGACGTTTGATGAAACGATCAGTACACTTCACTTTGCCAATAAGGTGAAGGCGATGAAGGTGACAACGACGACAGGCGCTGAAGCGGAAAAACTTCTATTCGATTACCTTGAGACTGAGAAGACATACGACAGCCTCCTCGCGGATCTTCACATCTTCGCCGAGGAATCGGGGTCGAAGAGCGCCGTTATTCGAAGGAACTGTAGACAAAACGATGGACTTTACTACAGTACAGCCGAACAGATGAAACCAAAGCCAAACATGAGGGAGAGGCGCTCAACAACTGAGAATCTCGGTGCGATTCGTTTTGCAACTGGAGAGCGCGAGACTCTGATGAAGGCAAAGCAGCAGGAGGAGGCTGAAAGCGAAATGAAGCGAGAAAAAATGATTCGTGATGAGGCAACAAAAACGGTGGCGGAGCATGCGAACCTCATCGAGGAGACACGCGAAAGCATCAACAGGGAGAAGGAAACCTCTAAACATGTTGGTGCCCAGGACCTTCAGGTTGCCTCACTCACAGGGGCCTCTGTCCTCCAGACTGAGGAATCCGCTGCGTACGCCGCGTTGATGTCGGCGTTTGCTGCTGAGCAGATAAGCCTCTGCCAGAAGAGTATACAGGAAAGCGAAAACAAGCAAGAGGCCGTCAGCAATGAACTCAACGCGCAACGCCTGTCGGCTGGTGAGATGCCTGAGGTTGCAGAAGACAATTATAAATATGCGCAAGCGTGCTGGGGCCATTCAACGGCGAAGAAGTTCTTTGCAAAATACGTTGAGCTTCGTGAGATTCAAACGCAGATGATGGCGCTGGAGAAGGGAGTCACCGTCCTCGAGCGTTGGAAGGCGGAGCACGCAGCGACGCTGCAGGATGGACCGAGTGAGATATCGAGGGCCGTAGAATAACGTTTGGTGTGTATTTATATATGGTAGCCGAGCAATACAGCAAAGCAACAAGAAAAAAAAGAAAACAAAAGAGAGAGAGAGAGAGAGAGAGAGAGAGAGAGAGAGAAAGCAAACAAAAAAAAAAGAAAAGGCCACCTTCGTCGTAGTGTATTGAACCTCTGGTGATTGATCAAGGGATCTCTTGTCGTTTTATTTTTCATGTCCCCTTGAGTCCCCTTCTGCCATTCTTTGTTCCGAATGGGGAGACTCCCGACATCGAGTGACTGTGGGAGTTGGGCACTCGACCCCACGCCTCTTTTTTTTTAAATTTTGGTGGGGCCGCGGCCTTTTTTTTATTTTCCTTTTTTTTTCTTTTCTTTCTTTTGCTATTCCTCCTCCGGGGCCCAGTAGAGGTGCTGCTTGCCTTCACGAGACAGCTGTGGGGGGATCGCGGAGGAAAAGAAACAGAAGAAAAAAAAACCCTGGCGGTGTGAGAGTGGTGACATATTTGATGAATGGCCCAAGCGTGTGAGCACCGGTGCCCTGAGGAACATCTCTGCGTGCTTGCGTGGCGTTTTTTTTGTGCTTGGATTTTACTTTTTCTCGTGTCTTCTCTTGCCTCTTTTGCTGTCTCTCTCTCTCTCTCTCTCTTCCGGTTGGTGTGCGCGTGCGTGCCCCCAGCATTCTGCAGGGCCGCGCCCATGGGCAGACTCGGGGACATGGTGGCGGCGTTCGCTGCGCACGATGCCGTGAGTGAGCGGCTGCCACCCTCCAGCGTGTTTTCCGCTGAAGTGGTCTACATTGATCTGTACAGTGTCTTGCGAGACGTCGTTAGTGTGGAGAGGAGTGCAACCCCGGCGATCTGTCAAGGGTTTTTTCACGCAAAGATGTCCCGATTTCTCGAGGGCATTGCGAAAATCTCGACGTACCCTGTCAAGAAGATTGCTTTCGTTCAGGGAGCCGGCAATTTGTTGGAGGAGGCGCTCTTTACTCTTGAGGTGTACCGGCAGGTAATCAACCTTGCTAGGCAGCACCCCGAGCGTTACATCATCTACACGTCGCCCGAGGGTGCACTAGAGGGTGCTCGTGCGTTGGCGTCGGCCAACACCGATGGGAAACGCTATGTGGTGTGCTCTAGCGACCCTCGTGCCCCGTTTTTGGCCTGTGATTGCGTCCGCAATTTGGCGGAGTGGTGTGAGGGCCGCGAATGCTTGCTGGAAGTTGTTGCATCGTCGCGCCTTTCGGTGGCACTGGGCCTGGAGGATCGCAGCTCTCTACCGCTGTTCGCCGTTCTTGCGAAGCGGGCGCCCAGCGCGGTTTCTGTGGAAAACCTGCGCGCTATTGCTCAGTGTGTGAACGGCTGGGATGGATTGCTTTGCCAGGAACTTCTTGAAAGTGTTTTCGAAACGCCAGGAGGTTGCGTCCATCACGACCTTGTGACGGTATCTGTGGCACTGGGGGAGTTCCGTGGCAGCCTAGCAACGGCACCCGTGAAGGTCGATGCTATGAATACTGCGTCCCTATTTCCATTTCTGTCACTCTGGGGTTGTTGCGGTGTGATAAGGATGGGAGATGCGGATGCCCATGAGTGCTTTCGCTCGGTGAGAGAGAGAATTTTGTCTTCTGTGATGCCTGGAAGGCTTCTTCGGGAGGTATACGACGATGCAGGCGGTGGCAAGAAGAGGAATGACAAGGGCCTCAATGACAGCGAAAATGTCATTCACATTGCAGAGAATGGTGAAGATTTATCGAGGCATCCTTGCCAGCCTTGGGAAGACGCGCTGGATTGTCTTCTAAAGGCCAAGACAGCGGAGGGTTTTGAAGTGGACATGACCCCGAAGGTTCTTGACATTGTAGAACGGCTTCCACATGAATTACAACACTGTGGCGTTTCCCTGCTTTTGCTCCGTCGTAGTGGCATCTTCTCTGAGAGCATTTGCAAGCATTTCTGTAAGGTTTTGACGTCAATGCCTGATGAAGTCAAACCAGAGGAAGACATGAATCATGCGTGTCGTGAGTTTCAGGCGTGCTTAACGTACGTTGCTTTGGTTAAAGAAATGTTTCGTCGGCCTATGGAACCGTTGTGCCTGCCTGTCGTTCCGTTGGTGGATCTTTCCATCATGCTTGGAGCTATTGATGACTCACATGATGCCCCAAGCAAATGCACGGCTGGTGAGGCTATTACTGGTGATGGAAAAGAAAATGATGTTTTCGAAGCACTCATGCACCTGCTGGAACTCTGCAATCCACGTGGGTATGATTGCTGAGTGCGGTTTGCTACTTTTCACCATGTGTGACGTGGTTTGACGTCTTGATCGCGTCTGTTTATCTGCGAAGAGAAATAAAGGCATGGTAAGAGGAGATAGAGACCAAGTATGGTTTCTCAAGGCTTCTTTTTCTTCCCCCTTCCCGCATCTTATCTAGAAACGGTTAACATAGCTGGACTTCTTTACAGTTTTTGGGAATTATCATTTCGGCTTTTACGGTGAGTGTGTGCGTGTGTGTGTGACAGTGGGAGCGTTTACTGCGACGATTACACTGTGTGAGGGTGCACAACAATGCCGTTGACTTTACCCAAAGACTCGGAGGAGGCGAAGGCGCTGGTGTGTCATCTTCGACAACTCGCCGACAATAAAGTTTGCTTCGATTGCCCACAAAAGAACCCGAGTTGGTGCAGTATTACGTACGGTATATTCTTGTGTATGGATTGCTGTGGGCGCCATCGCGGTATGGGCGTACATGTTTCGTTTATGCGCTCAACTGATCTCGACAGCTGGAAGCCCGAAGAGGGACTTCGGGTGGCGCTTGGTGGTAACGCAGCAGCCCACCGATTTTTTAAGCAGCACGGGTGCAATGACCCCAAGGTTCGCTACACTTCTGCTGCGGCGCAGGTATACCGAAAAAAGCTCGACCGTCTTGTGGCAGAATGTATTGGGGGGAAACCAATGGAATGTTCTGCCGGTGAGGAGACCGCTGAAGTAGCAGAGAAGCCTTCTGAGGGTCGCAAGGATCCTGAAGAAGTGCTGGATGTCGGTAGACCAGTGATGCAGCCTACCGTCCTTGCCATATCATCTAAATCTGGAAAAAAAAATGGCGCAACAAAGAAGAAGGGGTTTGGTGGAGCCCAAAAAGTGGAGGGGGCGATCAAGGAGACTTCGGACCCGGTACCCCACACTTTGCTCCATGATGAAGAAAAACCCGAGAGTATTAATGACCGGGAGGCCAATACTTACGCGAGCAGCGCATATCCTCCCGAAAACCCAACGAACCGTTTTTGTGGAGTGGGGAACCCTGTGCTTCAAGCAGAGAGACCCGGCGGTGATATCAAAAGCGGCCCCGACTTCTCTGGCGTCGGGTCGCAGCCGTACGAACCAAATATGAACCGCTCAGGGGGCGGCGGTGGAGGTATTGGAGGTGGTGGTGGTAGCTTCCAAGACACCTTGTGGCAGGTCACCGAGGCATGGGATTCCCTGAAGGAGACGGCTAATCGATCCCGCGAGCAGTGGGGAGGTAAAGTGAAAGAATTCCTGGACGATCTCTAACCTCGGAGGTTAGATGGAACTAATCGCGGATTGCCCATTATATATTTAATATATA